CAACTCTGAAAATCATCAGGCTGTCCGGATGGCCATGCCATCAAAACAACGATGGACTTACGTATGAGAAAATAATGGCTTAGGCCTCAAAATAGGCTTTCCATTCGACACACTGGACAATAAACTTTCCGAAAACGGGAGGAAAAAAAAAAATAGCCGGGTACACACTTTATCAGGCTGCCTATCTCCACCGAAAGTTAAGGAGAATCGTTTTGAGGCCTTGAATATGTATGTGAGGAGAGAACCGGCTTAATTATGTTCAACCCTCCATGGAAACCCTAAGTTGAATACTAATCACCTATTTTGTCAAGTAATTGATTGCTGCACGAACTAAAACTTCAGAGATCCTCCTTCAGTAAGCTTCAGCATTAGATTTGAATCCACAACAGGTGCACTGACTAAGCCATACATACAAACCTTCAATCCGGGTGGCGTTATCATGTTCCTGTATTCTGTGCCAGGCTTACTGTGTGTCTTCCAGGTAGGTCATTAGGTCATTGAATGGTACTTAAAAGTGAGCTTGCGGTGTCGCATTGTTCGACAGTTATAAATGCATTATTTAGTCAGGGTTTGATGAGCTGCATTCCATTGTAAATAATTCAGCTAAACTTATTTGTAAATGAGTAAAGGGTTTCCACTGAGCAGTTTTCGATTTAAGATAGCCCGGATAAGAATCAGGTCAGGAGAGACTTCTTAGTTAGTACGTTCTCAGGTGGGTTGGGGAATGAAATGTTTTTAGTATATCCTCAAATTACGAAAATGGTCAGATTTCAGACTAACTTTGGAAAATCCTTCCCATTAGTAATACGGTTGCTCAAAGCTCTTTGACAGCCCACTACCAGTCTCACTATTTCAATGGCTCATCATATAGTTTCATTCCCCGAGTTCCCATCGTTCTGGTTGCATTTGGACACCAAACTGTACACAGACCACCAAATACACTCATTTGAAAATCACACAGATATCAACGAGAGACACAACTAACGAAAAAAGGAATTTGCGGTTTTTTTTTATTAAATAAGAGTTCACAAACATTCCAGTTTACGCATACAGTTCCATTTGACGATAAAACTGCACCATTCGACAGTTGTTTAACCATATTTGTGTGCCCCAAAAAATAAACGATATGACAACTCTTCGATGTGATGAGCCACCTGATGAAACACTTTTTGAGGTACGCTGTATGTCAAAGGCAGGGAATAAACCCTTCTAACCACACGAATTTATAGCACTCTCTCTAATAGAAACGGATGTGACTGTTGGTTTCGAAATCAATATACCAGTGCATTAGCACAGAATGCAGTTTGACTCTTTGAGGAGGAATTTAATTCCATCTTGAGTATCACTGTATCACTGTGATAAAAGTAACGATCGGTCGCCTTTGGTTGTCGTGTGAGCGGCCGAGCTGACCGGTGATAAACTATTTATGGCCACGAATAGGTTGATGTAGATAACACCTGCCAGTTCGGCCGTCGTTGGATCAACAGCGAAGAAATAAGCTTGAAGTTTGCAACATAACAGCTTACTCTTACTAAAACCCTCATTTTTCGGGTATGGGAGTCTTCTTATTAATAATAAAACTATTGGGATCAAAACCATCGTTTCTCAGTACATTTTTGTCCGGTGGTCACACTTTCTTCTCAGACGTTTACCAAGGAGTGCTGGTGAAATTTGTGAGCACTAACGGTTGGTCGTATGTATGTGGACTTTGATTCGCTCCATTAATTACGCCTCAGTAGCAAAGCGGCAATAATTCATGCTGTTTGGTCATAATCTTTTCGCAGTGACTTCTGGTGCTGCATGCAAGCGCCTTTACTAATTTTTCTTATGGATTAGAATTACCAGTCATCTGTCTGGGAGAAGCGGTCTGTTCGAGCAGCAGAACTAAGATTTCTTCAGATGTTCGACAATCGTTGTCTCAGATGCATTGCTATTGTGGGTTGGCGTTAGCGAATCCATAAGGAGGCAATTAGAAAGCGAGTTTTCGGTTGTGCAACGAGAATCCCCATTGAAGATTGTGTCCAGCTCTAGAAGCTGCGTTTGGTAGGACATGCATTGCGCATCCCAAACATCGTTTATCATGCCGTTTTTCTCGCCCAATTTAGAGTGACGAATGCAGAGAGGTGGCAACCCTTGACCTGGCTGAGGGGTATGAAAGAAACGTTTAGTTGCTGCCGATGCTACTCGCCTTCCAGGGTGGGGATCGCGTGATCTTCACTGTGCCTGGTTGGAGACGCTGCAATATATAGCTGCTTATCGATATCAATGGCGTTCTTGTTTCTATCCAGATTGCCTGAATGAATGTCTAGAGATGTATGCACAACAGCCACAATCTCAGCCCTACATGCCATCGGTTGTGATGTCAACTTTTTGGTTCACCAACCGATGATCATCTCTTATCGAGAGATCCGCTTTCCTTAATCCGCTAAGGCTGTTATTGGACTGGGACTTCCTAAGGTCGCAGTCACTGACGTGTCTGCTTGCCATTGTGGGCTCTCTGCGTACCTATGACACTTTTATGCGTGGTACATGGCGTTGAATGTACATTTTTGCCATTTAATCTCACACCAGACCCAGTATGACAGACACTTTGTGCCTGATGTGAGAGTCTTGACTGTGCTAGCGTCTACCGCGCTTTGAAGAGCATTCACCATTGTTTGTCCTTTCTTCGGTTGTTGGTCTTTAGACGCGTTTCTAAAATCTTTACATACTTTGGGATTCACTTCATCAGACTGGAACTGTTCTTGGCATGATTTCGAATGGGACGTTTCTCTCTTTTCTCCCATATTCTCCTGTTACTCTTTCGCATTCATCGCTTGTATTCACTTTTTATGTTTGTGACCATGTTCTTAAAAGCTAAATGATAATAAATGTTGGTAAGGCAGCAAAGAATGAGTGTTGAACACTGGTATCCTGTTGTCGATGATGATGATGACTAATCACGGGTTTACTGCTATATTGCATCATACCAATTAAACTGTCCTTTGCTATTTGGCTTTGTGTATTTAATTTTGATTGGTCGGAAGGTAAGGTGATTCGTCCTCTTTTAATCACTTAAAGGGCTGATGTTCGATCCCGACCCTTCATTGCTGATTTTCTCTGTCTATGTATTGAAAATCTGGCAATAGTTCCACTCATATGCTTCCTAGCGGTTATTTGACAATTATGAATCCTATGGCTTCCACGGTGGAACAAATACTGAATACCTATATTAGTCTTCGAAACTTTCCCCATAAGCATTTTCGTAGAGGTGAGCTAACAATACGGCTTGCTAGTCAGTCTATGCGACCATTGCAAACACTGTGATGGATTTACGTTTCCTAATAACGCGCTGCTGATGTCACCTCGACTGGCGATGGAACGTTTGCAATTAAATTACCCAGCTCAGCTTACAAACCAACGACCATATATATGCTATGCGTACACGCCTACTTAGAATGTCTTAGACTAGAATGATGAGGCGGAAATTGCACAAGCATACAACTATCTATCAGCTTGAGTGCTTTTCTCATATACTAATGACCTTCAGTGATCCTGGAGGTTTTCTAAAGAACGACACTGATTGGGAGATTGTCATCATCATCATTTTCATCATCTGGGTTAGAAATATCAGTTTTGACACAAACACCTCATTTCCGTACAACCACCAGGTTTATTTAGGTGTACTTAAGGATATAAAGTGAAAAAGGGGAAAAGTTTGGGTAAGGGAGGGACCTGGTGCTGGCCTATCGCAAGAAGCCACAGGTGCCTATAACTCCTAGTGCTCAAACAGAAGAAGAAAGAAATTGATAGCAGGAACGCTATTGACATCGATTAGTAGCCGTCTATTGCAATGTCTCAGGTGCATGGGAAAAAGGGAGACAGTAGCGCCATTCCACACCCTCCTACCAAGCCACACGTTATTCACCTCGTGGTTTACGCCATTCTGAAGGAGGCACGCAGGGCGAAACTTGCCTCGGTAGACGATATTTCGACCTTCACAGCACATGGCTAATGGGAGTACTGGATGTTTTTTGCGACTGACGTATCTTCTGCACAGCCAAACACTCGTGTTCGCATTACTTTGATACTAATCCGTTGATACCACCTGACACCGGCAACACTCCTGAGACATCGGTGGTCGAAGGGCAGAAGAAGCCTCAGGTCAGCTGTCTACTTGGTTACATTTTGCAACCGTACACCAATGCAGCTCCTGCGGTAGCCCTGGACGTGCGAGACTTGAGACCTATTAATATGTTATTCTGACGCCAAAGTTAGCCTGTTGTCTGGTCCACGTGAATTTGTTATCTACTCCATTGCACTTAATCATGACTGCGTCCTTTCAGCATCAATTCTGGAAAAGACAATGCCGTTAATTAACTTTTCTATCAAAGACCAAACTGCAGTGTGGACCGCACTAAATGAATTTACTACCGTATCCATGCCATCGTTTTGTGATGACGAAAAATCTTCCGCGTATTGATGACAGCAGTAAAATTTGTTGCTTAGTGGCCGCAGTCTGTCCGCCCATAATTTGATTATGAGTATTGTCTGAAAGTATTGGCACTAAGGAAAATATAGTAGCCTCTACATATTGTTGTCTGTGACGGTTTTTGCTCGATCGAGACCGAAACAGCCTAGGCTATAGATATATGCTCATCCAAAGCCGTAGTGTACACTCAGAAAACCCGTACGCAGGTTCGGTTATTATCTTGGCCCCAAATAGTTCCCACAAATTACTCCAGTAACAGAATCACTGAAGATAAACAGGACTACTGAATTATACGTACATGACTACAAGCTAAAAACACCTATTCGCCCTGCCCTCTTCTAAGTAATTCCAATGTTCTTTAATTTGGTCTGGTTGTATTCCGAAATCACAGTCAACTGACTTCTTGAGTTCTTAAATTTTATAGTTTTGAGAGCTAGTTGATCAGTTCGTTCAAAGCCTCAAATGCACTCTCAAAGACTATGTTCCATAGATGGCAGGATTTTTAAAGTTATTTGTGTTTGTTTTAAAGTTAAAACCATACTCACCACAGGAACCCCATGGCACCCATGGCTGCAAACCGACGTTGGCCCGGTAAGTGGGTCCCACAAGTAAAACGTTTCAGTATTACCATCCTGCTAATTGACAGAAGGTTGTGAAGGCACATTACTCGTTCAAATGTGTAAGAGTGCCAGTCTGTGAACTTGATTTTCATAACTAAAACTGCACGTGTTACCGTGCTCATTGTATTACAGTTTGCCTCGACAATAATTATATATTACTTATAAAGCTCAGTAGTATATATTCCAGTGGAAAATTAGCACTCACCTTGCTCCGTAAAAGCTATCTAACTTGCTGGCTGTCCCTAAAAGGAATGAACATGGATTAAATTGTTTTCATCTTCATTTTTATGTAGGCTGTGTGTGTTGTTTGTGGCGTTGTGTCCACATTAATAAGTTATTCTCCTCGAACAGGAACCTCTGCCAATAAGGGACTACTTTGTCCCTTGTATTGGTGGGCTAAACGCCAAACTCACTGGGGGCCAGAAAATGGTGATAATTTCGGTTCTATTATTTCAAAGCATGGACCACCTTTTAAACAAATCGGGGAACCCGGGCCGGTTAATTTCGGTCAAGCCATGGTGATCCAGGATTTTTAAAAGCCAAGTTTGGACCTACTGTTTGCCTCAGATGCGCACTCCGCTTAGTGAGCATGAACACTGAGCTGTCAGCACAAGTGCGTGGTCACACAGCTTGCATGTGTGCAAATCTTACAGCATCAGCATGACGGTAATCAGCTCTTTTTTGCTCTCCACCACGGACACTTAAAAGGACTGCGGGATTAGTCAGTCTGCGATAGTTTATCTGTGTGGTTCATATTCCATTCGTCCAGACTAGCAAGCCTTGATAGACAAGATGTTCCTGAAAGCTGAAAAGTTCGGCTAAAGCAACGTCATAGGTTACCGCGGAGCTAAGATAACGCCGCTATTTATATTAAATTTAAGGGCACCATTATCATCAGGAAGTAAATAAGGCACAGAGTTTTTCACCCGCTGTTACCAGAAGGTACATTTGTGGCTCATATGCTTCAGTATCCCAACCTCTGAATCCCACTGGTAGGTGTAGAGTGGAGTGCTCTGTCCACGGATGTCCCTCCAAGCAATTTTAGGTGTTTTGTAGAAGTCCACTGCAGGTAAATCTTGATTAATCAAGACCAATAGCACTGTCTCGAGGCTAGTTCCCAAATAAATACCCTTAAAGGGAAACGCTGCTCGACCATTCTGATGTTGCGTGCCCTGAAAAACGCCAGGGTTTCAGTGACTCAGGCAATTTTTATGCAGCATTGAACACCGACTGAGGATTTCACAGGCATACATAATTACGAGGTAAGAAGTACTTGTACTGTTTTTCTTAACTTCGTTTTACCACGCCGGTTGCGATGACTAACTATTAATCTCACATTCAGCTTTATCCTTTGACCGTAGATAGTGTCTTCAACTATCCCTGTTGGTCGAAATTTGCCAAATTAAACTATTCAGGGTCAGGCAAAACAGTAGATAAGAAGTGATAAAAGTCGTGGTAACTGCTTCAGATAGGAAAGAACATTTCTTAAAATCATCGGTGAACGAAACTGCGGCAGTTGTAATCACTGTACGACAAGTACGTGGTTATTACAGCTGATGATGACATGAAAACAAGCATTAAATGCAATAAATAACGGATTTGTTTGTGAGTAATTGGCTCAAGGTCCACTTGGTTGTCATACTGTCATACCAGAAATTTTACCGACGTCTCTTAATAGGGACGTAACGTTGGCAGATCACGTTGATCAGTCAATACGGGTGAACTTTGCCGAAAGAGCCACTACCGCTTACCTCTTTGCACCCAGAGATAGTTGAGCTGCTGAACAGTACCTATAGAGTTTGTGCAAACAAAAGGCCTTGACAGATCGATCAAACTAGCTGTAATATACCAATCAAAACTGACTGCTTCATGATGTTATTGGACTCGTTTTATTCCATTCATTGACTGTTTCTTTTGCTGCGGATAAAGAGATAAGAAAAAAATACCAGTGGTCCGTGAACTTTGTCTTCCTGGGGTAGTACTCAGGTGTCTCATCTGTTAGAAGAGTTACTTCTTCGATAGAAAATTAAAGAAAATTACAAAAAGACATAAATCGACAACGCTTAACTTTTCTCAGTTCTAGATCAAAGTTTCACCCCGCAACGCTCAAGTGACAACCAAAATAATGGATACAAGATGTTTTGGAGCCCCCCACTTGTCTTGCCTGCATTTATTTGTTGTTCGTAAAGCAGTCTCATTTCTAACCCCATTTTAGCTGTTTGACGTCCTCGTTTCTGTTGCCGCAACGTCCCGAATCCAAAACTTTACGCTTAAAGTAAAGCAGATTGGAGCAGAATCAAAGCACTTCCGTTAGAGCCACCAAGATCATAGACGAGCTCTTCCACAGCCCATTGCAGGTCGCAGAAATCTCTACCATACGTAACACACCATATATAAACGCGGAAAGGCCAGGTAGCTCGAGAAAAAATTCCAGAACAGCTGCAGAAAGAGCAACCTTTTTTACGCGAAACTGCTGGTTCCCAGTTAACAATGGACATACAAGCCGACAGAAGTCCCCTGGCCTGAGGAACCTGCCTCAGCGGGTCCCAGTTAAAGTCAGTTTCAATGTCTGGTCCTCTTTTCAGAACAGCTTGGAAAGTAAGCGGTGGGTTCATTTCCAAAATTCTGAAAAACGATGAATTCTCAATTTGCCACATCCGTTTTCAGTTGACCAAGCAGCTAAGTTTTCTTCTACTCAAGATATCCATGCATGGCACTACTTTTGGGACTGATCAAAGCCCTGGAAAGCCCACTTCCGGTTTCGGTCTTTTTGGGGTGCTTTAAGTAGGCCGAATCCCCAATGTGTCATTGGGAGAACTTCGCCGTTGAGAGCCAAACTGGCTGTATGTCCAAATGGAGACTTGCCTGTAAGGGATCCATTTAACTCTCCGGCTACCACCACTTTTATTTATCTGCACGCAGGTGTTAAGGCACTTGCACACAATCATCTTAGAGACCACATCCTGCAAAACTTTTCCTCTATTCAGTCTGGAACGAAAACAGGCAAAAACCTGACTGAAAGTACGAACTGACTTTTACGCGATGTTTTATAAAATAACCTGAGAGGGCCTGTAAGTACTTGGGAGTCTTTGCAGAAAGAAAAACTCCTGTGCTGTTCTAATCAATTTCCCTGAGAGACTTATTCCACTGTCACGAGGATCTTCGACAATCAATAAATTAGGGTGAATAATAAGTCGACAATTTCCTTGGTGATGATCTGATCATCTCTCACGGGATTTGCAAAATTTGTTGCGCGGGTGAACAAGTTGTTTGGCGAAACTCTGAAGAGATTTGTTCCAAATTTCACACGCTACTCATCATCATCATAGTCATTGTTAGCTGTAATAACCGAGTACTTGTCCTACAGTGGTTGTAGCTGCCACAGTTTCGTTCACCGATGATTCGGTGAGGTGGGGTAGGTTGCTGCGCATTGGAGGCGGGAGCTGATAAATCAGTGTGTAAATACAGTACAGTAAGTGGACTATTAAGTTGGGGGACTTGGGAAGGGAGCTATGCATTGAAGGCAATAGCTTGGATGCATGAGCGCCATTGAGGGCGCGACTGGGCCATGTCTGCCAATGTCTCTAACCATTGATATGGCTCGTCTCGGGGTCCCCATCTAGGAAGACGGCAGTGACCGGCGCAGTTGAGTTTGCTGGCAATGGCTTTTATACTTCATTCCCATCTCATTGCTTAACTGCCTCGGTCTCTTCCACCCTTCACGTGGTTGTGTGAAAAAAACCCTTCGAGGAATTCGGTCGACTGGCATACGCAGCACGTGGCCAAGCCAGCGCAACCTATGCAGTGTGATCAGTTCATCTATCGAGGGCGAGTTATTTTTCCCGAATACCATTCGACGAACTTCAGCATTGCTGATCCGGTGTTCCCACCAGATTCGGACAATGCTCCGAAGACATCGACGTCCTCAGCGCGCAGCGGCCAGGTTTCTGATCCGTATAGTAATATGGGGCGCACCGCAACATTGTAAACTCAACCCCACTACGGTAAAAGGATGAATAAAAAGATGTGCTCGGTTAAGCTCAGTTATATTTTCACTGAAAATGAGTTTGGATGCATGTCCGTTGCTAGAGTGAGGAATTAACCTTCGTTCATTTGAAACATCAGTCTAAATAATAAGAACTCATTTCCAACGTGTTGACACATGTAGTACCAATGTAGACGTGGTCATGACATCACTTTTCGGAGGAGGTCAGTCTCCTGGCGACCAGTTCAGGGCACAAGTACTCCTGGAAGTGTAAGAGTTGTGTTTGGTCAATGTAATGCAGACCACTAGAAAAGACAAATACAAACAGTGTTTGAACTAAATCAGAAGCAAGCATACGTCTCATTCCAACAACCAACCATTTCAACCAACATTCAGTCTAAGTTATCCCATTTCCTCGAGGTACGGTAAACATTGATTACTGTGCAAACTGAAACGCCAAGCATTCAAAACCTGGATACTTAATCTAAGCCTATGCCTTGTAAAATACGCACTACGAGCTCGGCTTAGGTTCACGCGAATGGCTAATGGAAGCCACTCACGAACAAGCCTGAAAAGCCTCAGCTGTAAACCGTAGACACGTTGCTGTGGTGGGGTTACACTTCAGAGCCAACGACGAGTATAGGCTGACCTAAAATCCCTGATAGAAAATACCAGCTAGACCGACGGGCATCTTCTTATGCAGGCAATTCTTTCATAGGTTGATTTGTTCTTCAAGACTATGGATAAGTTTGACACAGTTGGCGATGTGTCTAGAGATGGTTGCTCCGTTACCTAGTTGTTTCCGAACTTCATCAATCCTGTTTTATTCGTTCCATACAGAAACTTCTCAGTTATTGATTGATCCCGAGTTAGTCCAGCGGTTAAGCAGCGAACTTACTGATCAGAAGGTCTGTGGTTTGAACGCAACTCCGGTATTTCGACTAATCCTGCCATTGTTCGGGCAACCTGACAGTATCTCAGCCCTT